TTTAATAAAAATTTCATTTACTTATTTTTTTGGAGAAAAGGGAAGAGAGAGAAAAAGAGGGAGAAAACCATCAGCCTCTCACATGCCCCCCCACTGGAGGCCTGGCCAGCAACCCCAGCACGTGCCCTGACTGGGAATCAAACCAGCAACCCTTTGGTTCACAGGCTCGCACTCAATCCACCGAGCCATACCAACCAGGGTGAAAGAGCTCTATTTTAGATTTTTACATGCTACACTGTCTGTCACACACACATACAAATTGCCATGTGGTAAAAGCATGATATGGATAATGGAAATTGGAAAGTAATAATGTGAGTGAGGAGGCACTGCTATTTTTTTAATTCAATTTTATTTTGTATTTGTTTTAGGAGTATAGCTTAGTGGTTAGATAATCATATACTTCACAGAGTATCCTCCTAAATATGGTGCTCCCCTAAATATTTTCAGTACCCAAATGGCACCAAATATAGTTATTACATTATTGACTGTATCTATTCCCTATGCTTCACTTACATTGCCATGACTATTTTGTAACTACCAATTTATATGTTTCAATCCCTTTACCTCTTTCACCCAGTCCCCCCAAATTCCCTCCCCTCTGGCAGCCATCAGATTTCTCTCTGTGTCTATGAGTCTGTTTCAGTCTTGTTTGTTCATTTATTTTGCTCTTTAAATTCCACATGTAAGGAAAATTATATGGTATTTGTTTTTCTTTGACTCATTTCACTTCCCCATTCACATCTAATTCTTCCTCATCTTGGTCTCTATTCCCATCTTCTTCTCAATGTGTCCTACCCAGGACTTGGCCTAAATAATGCCCATTCTATTAACTCCTGATGATGTTTCTGAGTATGACATTTGTGTTGGATCTTCATATCTAATACCCTCTAGGCCCATCCATTCTGTTGCAAATGGTAAGAATTCATGGCCAAGTTATATTCCGTGATATGTATGTACCACAGCTTTTTTATCCACTCATCTACTGATGGGCATTTGGGTTACTTCTATGTCTTTGCTATTGTAAAAATGCTGCAGTAAATATAGGGGTACATGTATTGTTTCAAATTCGTGTTTTGGGTTTCTTCAGATAAATCCCCAGAAGTGGAATTCCTGGGTCTGATGAAAGGTCCACTTTTAATTTTTTGAGAAAACTCCATACTGTTTTCTATAGTGGCTACACCAATATAGCAATGCATTCTTTTTTTAGTAGCCAATATATATGTGATTAAATATTAAGGTAGAGGAATCATATAAATGAAGACCAATTAATCACTTTTATTATTAATAAAATCTATATGTGGCTTAGCTTTAAGTCCCAAACTTGTGCTAACACCTTACCTTACATTTAGGTAGCCTTGAGCTACCTTGAATCACTAACTCAGTTTAAGAGGCACAAGCCTGCCCCTCCTGGAGGCCATTTGCTACAGGGCAGAGAACACAGCTGAACACCCACTCTTTCCTGGTAGGCTGAGTGAGAGAAGACAGGATGGGACTAAGTCGAGCATACTACCCCCAAACTCACCTATTATGCAGTCCTACTCTGGCAGCTCTGTGGAGGATAGGTTGGAGGCCACAGGAGGCAGCAGAGAGACCAGGTAAAAGATGATTGTAATGCCAATAGCACTGCATCCTATATTTTAAAAAAAGAGAAAAGAAAAGACTGTTGACAGAGCTGAAATCAAGTTTGTTCTTGCCTTATGAAACTGCCTGACTCTGAGATGTGTCATGTACATATTCGGCGTCTGGATTTCAGAGAAGAAGAAAAATCTCTTTGTCTGGTTTTATAACTGTTTCTTTGGGGACCATATGTTGGCTGCTCCTTTAAACTTAGGCCTTTTGGACTTGTTCTTTCCTGTGGTAGCTTGTTTGTGGTCAGGAGGCATCAGCATGTTCATTGCGATTACCTGGGCGCCAGCTCTCAGTGAGGAGGTAGAATGGGGTGGGAAGATTACACAGCTTGGGCAAAGAAACCTTGTTCCAAGTTCCAACTTTGCTCTTGAGGTAGATTGCTGCAGTAATACTACCATTTTGTTCAGGTCTCAATATATGCACTCCCTTTTGAGACAGGACTTTTCTACTCCTTCCATGAAGAGGTTGGGTTTAGTTTTCTACCACCTGAATGTGGCCTGGATCATGCTTTGGTAAACATGACAAATGCAGAGGATTAGAAAGTACTCGCCCTTTGGGTTTTGCTCTCTCTTGCTCCTGGGGATCCTTCCACCAGCAGTGAACAAGTCCAGGCTAGCTGGAGAATGAAACTGCGCAGAGGGAGACTCCAGTCGTCTCAGTGGGGTGTCTCCCAATGCCATCACCCATTTTCTGATTCTCTAGATGTTCAATTTTGAAATTAACTACCTATTCAGATTTAGTGCAGAATCGACAGCTTAATTAAGGGCTCAGTTCCACAAGATTATCCTGCACCAACTTCAGTTACCAGTAGCACATTGCTGGCCTCGCACACTTCCAACTGGCAATAAATCAGGGGTTCCCATGATTTCCTCCTAAGATTTGATAATTTATTAGAATGGCTCACAAAACTCAAGAAGACATTTTCCTTACATTTACTGGTAAGGGATACAGATTAAAAGTCAGATCAAGTGGTACAAGAGGCCTGTCCAGAAGGTATCCAGCCATATAATATAAAAAATAGATATTTAATGAAGAAGATGCAAGATACAAGATACATTGTACATAGGGCAATGATGCCTCAATCCTCTTCAAAGCAGGCACCTTGGGACCTCACACAGTTCTCACAATTGCCATCAGCTGCCCCATCTTATTTTCCTGAATCTCATCTACAGTCTGAAATCTCTCCCCTTTCAAAGGTGATTTTAGTTTTGGGAAAAGCCAGAAGTTGCATGGTGCCAAATCTGGGCTGTAGAGGGGCTGGGTCACCTGGGTGATTTGGTGTTTCATCAAAAAACTGCTTGAAGCGTGATGCCTGAGCCATGATGCACGAGCAAGGGCAATGTCATGATGAAGCTGCCAATCATCATTTGACCATAGCTGTGGCCTTTTGAATCATCCAAATAGTTTCCACTGAGGAATGTTCAAACTTAATGAAAAATCTGATGCATATTCATTTCTCCACTCGATCAGTCATTTTGAATGCAACAGCCACACAGTATACATGCTCACTCAAATGGTTGCCATTTTATACCAACGTCACACAAAGCATTCTTGTTATATTTACAATGCTGGACTTTTTCTGGGCAGATCTTGTATAGGGCGAAGTCTAGAAAAGTCCAAGCACAAGTGAATACTCTATCTCTGTGGAGTTGTGGCATGCCTATGTGTTCATTAATTAAGAAACTCATGAAATGTCATTGTTCAAGAGTTTTGATAAAGCTTAATCTCCAGGCCCATTCACCTGCCACTCCTCAGACATCAGTGAGTGGGGCTGAAAGTTCCAACCCTCTCATCAAATGTTCTTTTAGGGACTAGACTGATCCTAAAGCTCTCCATGGGTCCCATCTTAGGTAACCTTACTGATACAAACTAGGATATGATGTAAAGGGGCTCATTATGAGTAACAAAAACATCCTGTCACTCAGGTTTTAGAGTCTCTATGCCAGGAATTGGGGGACAGAGATCAAATCTATTTCCGATTGTACCACTGAGATATTCATTCTTCATTCTAAGCTAAGACCCCAGGCAAGTAAGGGTGGCTGTTCTAGACCATACAGTCACAACCAAGCATCACCATTTAAAGTGTCATCAGCTAGTCACAGAATGACAACAAGTAGAAAACATTCACTGTTTTAGTCCACCAAGTTTTAGGGGAGCTTGTTACACAACAAAAGCTGACTAATATAGCACCTCATCAGCTATGAAGACAATGGGAGAAAATAGTTCTACTAAGAATACAAGAAAGATGGTTGTTGTAATACAGAATGAATTTAATCTTGAGCTTCCTGGGAGTTGAGGCAAATAAAAACAATGGGTTATAGACTTCCCATTATTTGAGAAAATAAGTATATAAATTCTGAAGAGGTGGCAAACATTTTACTGGTCAAAAAAGGGATAAATCAGGTGTCAATATTAAAGAGACACAAAGTACCATAATATGTAAAAGTGTCTTCACATTTATAGGCAAATGAAAAAATTTTCTTCATTACCTTAATCCTCAATATAAATTCAGCTACCCTAATATGTTGCAAAAATCAGTTTATTAAACCCTAAAGGGAGGAATGATCAACACATCTATGAAACTGACTGGAAAAATTTTAAACATACTTTTGGAAAGAGCTGGGTATGAAGGTTAATCCTTAGATGTGAAAGGATCCTTAAATCCTCTCGCTGATCTTCTATAATACAAATAATCTTCATAGACTGTAAGTTACCTTTGTTTAAATAAGTTTTCACTTGAGTGAAATGAAAGTGTGACTAGGTTATTTACATTTTTAAGCTTAAAAAGTCATGTATCTATAGAACCTGTAACAATATGACTATATTATTAATGAAATGTTCACCACATGAATGAAATTTGGACTTCAAAGCTCCAATGGTGTTATTATTTTTATTATTATCAATCATTCACATTTCCTCGATCTACATAAATATGTACTATTTATTGAGCCCAAACTATGAGTAATTTACTACACTATGTGCTTTACATGTATTAATTTATTCAATCCTTTCAACTGTCCTCAGAAGTAGATATTAAATGCTTGTACTATGTCCTAACCTGGTCTTTTAAATGGCCCCTCTTCTGCTGCAACTGCATAAAAAATCAAATGTCTTAAACCAATGAGGAGAGCTTTGGTAAATGACCTATTTAAACACAGGTCAAATTACATTTTTACCTCACAACTTACACTAAAATAAATTTTTGAAGGACTTAAGTTTTAAATGTAAAATTAAGCCATAAAAATTAGGTGATTTACTTCAAGAAAAAAAAAGAATCTCATGTCTCATAGCAATGAAGAAAGTCACAAAGTAAAATATCAACAGAAAGATAACTGACTATCACACTGATGCTTATGGTTTCTTTTCCACAGGAATATAAACATTATTGGACAGAGTTGAGAGGAACCACACTTTTCTTTTATAACGACAAAAAAAGTACAATAGTAAGTAGTTAAACATGTTTAACTAATTCGATTTTTTCCTACTATACACTTATCATATAGTTTATTATTTATTTGGGATTTTCTGTGTTCTAAGAGTGCTAGTAAATAGTTCTAATATTTCTAGTTCTAATATTCTAATAAAACAAATTCAAATATAAATATTTATATCTGTGATGGAATCAATTATAGGATCTATAGTAATAAAAACTTCTGGCCAACTCAGAAGAAGGTATTATCTCATATTTTATTTTATTTTTGTAAATTCAATTTTGTTGTTTATGCTTTTACAGTAGTCCTAATTTTCCCTCTTTTGATGCCCTCCACCCAGCATCCCCAGTCCCTCAGGCAATCCCCCCATCATTGTTCATGTCCACAAGTCATGAGTAAAAGTTCTTTGGCTACTCTATTTCTTATACTGTACTTTACATTCCCTTGTCTATTCTCTGTAACTACCTATTTGTACTTCTTAATCCCCTCACCTCCCTCCCATTTAGCAACCATCAAAACAATTTCTGTATCATAGTTCTGTCTCTGTTCTTGTTTGCTTAGTTTATTTTTTTGATTCAATTGTTGGTAGATATGTATTTTTTGTTGTTTTACTGTTCATAGCTTTGATATTCTTTTTCTTAAATAAGGCCCTATAACATTTCATATAATAATCGTTTGGTGATGATGAACTCCTTTAACTTTTTCTTGTCTGGAAGCACTTTATGTGCACTTTGATTCTAAATGATATCTTTCCTCAGGAGAGAAATCTTGGCTGTAGGTCCCTGCTTCTCATGACTTGGAATGTTTCTTGCCAATCTCTTCTAGCCTGCAATTTTCTCTTGAGAAATCAGTTGACATTCTCATGGGAACTTCCCTTTAGTAACTAACTTTTCTCTTGCTGCTTGTAAGATTCTCTTTATCTTTAACTTTTTGCATTTTAATTATGATGTGTCTTGGAGTGGGCCTCTTTGCATCCATCTTGTTTGGGTCTCTTGGTGCTTCCTGGACTCGCATGTCTATATTCTTCACCAAATTAGGGAAGTTTTCTTTCATTCTTTTTTCAAATAGATTTGCTGTGTTTTGCTCTTTCTCCTCTCCTTTTGGCACCCCTATGTTATGAATGTTAGACCTCCTGAAGTTGTCCCAGAGGCTGTTTATACAACCCTCATTTTTTAAATTCTTATTTCTTTCTTGTTCTGATAGGCTGTTTTTATGTCCTTATGTTCTAAAGTCATTGATTTGATTCTCAGCACTCATCTATTGTTTCCCTGTAAATTGTTCTTTATTTCAATTAGCGCATCTTTTGTTTCTGACTGGATCTTTTTTATGCTGCTGAGTTCCTCACTACATTCCTTGAGTATCCCTATAACCAGTGTTTTGAAGTATGCATCTGATGGATTGCTTATCTGTTTTGTTTAGCTCTTTTTCTGGAGTTTTGAGCTGTTTTCATTTGGGCCACGTTTCTTTGTCTCCTTATTTTGGCAGCCTCCCTGTGTTTGTTTCTATATATTAGGTAGAGCTGATTTGACTCCATTGTCTTAGTATTGTAGTCTAATGTAGTAGGTGTCCTGTGGGGTCCAGTGGCACAGCCTTTGCTATCTCCCAAGCTAGGTAGTTGAGGTCTGCCCTTTGTGTGGGCTGAGTACACCCTTTTCTTGTTGTTGAAACTTGTTTGCTGTTGGTAGATCATGGGTAGGATTTACCCTGGCCAGTCAACCGCAAAGACTAGCTGTAACCACTGACCGCCAACCTCTGTCCTCCTTGGAGGATCAGCTGTGTGGTGGCAGGGTGGTGGTGCTCCGATGTGGTATGTAGCTGTCCACTGGGTGCACTGGTCCTGGGGTTTCCTGGGTGGAGCAGGCCTAGGTAGGCCCTCACCTGTTTGGTCCAGGGCTACACTGCCTGAGCTGAAAAGCAATCTGGCTACTACTTGTGTTGGTCCTGGAGATTCGCAGGCAAAGCCAACCTGTAAATTTAGACTGGCTGCTACTGGTGCTAGACCTGGGGCTCACTTAAGCCAGATGCTGCTTGTTTGAAAGGATTTAGGAAGCTGTGAAGCATGAGCAGAGACCAGTCATTCACGTGGAAAAGCAGCTTGGGTGGGCCTGTAAGTTGGGTATGGCAAAGTCTCTAGGTATCTCTAAATAGTGTTAGCGAGTTTGATGATATCTCAGATATGACAGCAGCTTTCTGGATTGTAGGGGGCAGGGTTTAGAAAAGGGAAAATGGCCTCTACTTGCCTTGAAGCCAGGCACTTCGTTTTCTCCCTGTATGCCACTGGTGCCTTTCAAGGTGCTACCCTGGTGTTCAGAAGGAATGAGTCTGAGTAGGTGAGTCTGTGTATGGGTTCTTTAAAAGGAACTGCTTGGGGCCCCAGAAGTTTCTTCTACTGACTCAATCCCCATTGGTTTTTGCAGCCAGAAGTTGTGGGGACTTAGCTTTCTGACACTGGAACCCTGGGCAGGAGAGCTTGGTGTGGGGATGCGACATCTCTCTCCTGAGATACCCCTCCTGAATTTTTTATCCACCACACATGATGTAGGACCAGTCTTTTCTGCCTTTGTGCCCCTCCTACCAGTCTGGATGAATGTGGTTTCTTTAATTCCACAGGTGTCAGACTTTCATTCAACTTGATTGATGATGGTTGTGAGTGATGGTTGTTCTATATTTTAGTTGTAATTTTGATGTGATTGTGCTAAGAGGTGAGCCTTGTCTGCCTATACTGCCATCTTGACTGGAAGTAAATTATATATCATATTTTAAACTTTGCATTCTTTTCTTTCTAATCCTGATACTAAAAACTTGGTTAAAAACTGAAGATTTTAGCTATACATTTGAACATAATTGCCTAATACCAAGTGATACCCTTAATTTCTTCCCTTTTTATCTTTCTGTCACATACCATTATAATCTGCAAGGAGCTAGATGATCCCCAAAGCCTCATAACATAAAATGTTGCCATTTATTTTGTCTGGATAGACAAAAACATACCCATAAAACAGGACTACTAAGAGCTCAAGTATGAGAAATGAAGAGATTCTGATATTTATTAATATTAGTTTCAAGTAACTGATTTGTTTTCAATTTTTTCCACACACACATAGAAATGAAAAGTGATTGTGTATTTTATCTTTCCCCACAAATAAAATGCTGAATTTTAGTGCCAAATGCTTGCTTACCTTGAAATGGTAAGCTTATAAGTGACTTTATGATCCAGTAACTTGTTTAAATAAAAACATTTTGGATCATGGATGTAGTAGCCCAACACTCCTTAGAACATCATTATTACAGATCCAGATCTTATAAAAGAAACAGAAAAAGAGCTTGTATTCCACTTGCAGGTAGTTTAGCATCGTTAGTGGTAAACTAAACAGTAGTTGTTTTGTCTTATTTTATTTAATATTTTATTTATTTATTTTTAGAGAGAGGGGAGAAAGGGAGAAAGAGAGGAAGAGAAAGATTCATATGTGAGAGATACATCAACTGGTTGCCTCTTACACAACCCCCAACTGGGGACCTGGACCAAAAACCAGGCATGTGTCCTAACCAGGAATTGAACTGGCAACCCTTTGGTTCGCAGGTTGGAGCTCAATCCACCGAGCCACACCAAACAGGGCTAATCAGAAGTCATTTAAAAAAGAGAGAGGGACAAAGAAGTGGTTATCTTTCATCATAGTTCTGGATAGACAAGATTTATATAAAGGCATTTTTTAATACTGTAATGAGTTTTTAACAGAACTAATTTCTCTGTTGTGTCTTCTAACTCCCCACTGATGTCAGTAAAAATTTAAAGAACTTGGTAACCCGGTAAATATACATTATGAGAGAGTTGATAGTTATCCCTCGCTGCCTGAAGCAGTACAGCTTAGTGCTTGAGAGCCTGTTTTTCAGGTAGACTCCCTGGGTTTTTATCCTGGTCCTGCCACTGTTCTTTCTGCCAGCTTGGTATCTGGGCTACCTACCTAACCTCTCTGCATCTCAGTGTATCATATAGGAAACTGGCGGAAAACAACTGGCATCTCAAATTGGGCAATTTGAAGAGAGTTTGATAAAGATGCAATACTCAAAGGAGTGGACAGGATGTAGGAAAATGACAAAGGATAGTACAGAACCCTGAGGCTAGTTAACAGTACCCCATGACCACACATAGGAGTAAAAGAAAGAATGAGAGAGCAGTGGGGAGAGTTGTGTAAAGATGGCTACCTTGAGAGGAGTAGATCTTTGGATGAGGCAGCAACTGCCAAGGGTAATAAATATCTGACTTCACTCTTCTCATTCTTTTACCTGCTGCCAGGGTTCACCAGCAGTTCAAGCCAGCAGGAAGGCAGAGGGTGAGGGTACCCATAACGCTGTTCATACAGGTCCGTATCTTGGTGCACGGTGTTGGGCAGTGAAGAGATAGAAGTAAATCCAGAGGAACAAATAAAAGATCTCTGACACCTCAGTTTCAAATATCTAAAATTAGGATGAAAAAAATAGCTGAACTTATAAGGTTATTAAAAGTATTAAATGAGATAGTAAATAGAAGGCATAGCAAGCATTCATGCATTTTATATGCATTTTCTCATTTAATTCTCACAACAACTCTGCACAGTAGGTACTACTTTAACCTCCACTTTATACATCAGAGCAGTCAAGTTTAAAGATTAAGAAATTGTACAAGATCAGACACCCAATGAAAGTGGTACAATCTGTCTTGCTGCAGAGCCAGCATTCTTAACCACCAGGCCATGAAGAGACTGTTAAAATGAAATGGTGCAGAATTGCCCTCCTACCAATTGCGTGAAAAGGGGATGCAGAATTTGGGGGAGATTTTTGGGGTGATAGTCACAGGAGAAAGCACAGGAATAGAATAGGTGAGAACTGTAGATATTTAGCCTAGAATAGGGAAGACTATAAAACTGCATTTAAGTATTTGAAAGGCTGGCAGGTCATGTGAGTTGCCAAATTCATTTAGTGTTATTCCAGAGAAAAGGTATTAGGACCAATGGATAAAAATTGCCTGAAGGAAAACTGTAGTTTAATACAAGAAAAAAAATTGCTAGCAGGCAAAGCTGCTGAGGAGGTGTTAGTTCCACATTGTTTGAGATGTTCAGACACAGGGTAGATGACCACAGGGAAGGGTAGCCTGGAGGAGATTCAAGGATCAGATAGTAGCTAGATTAGACCGATGACCTTTAAGGCTGTTTTCAACATTACAATTAAAAACAAAAAGATATGACTTCCTTTTTGAAATCAATAGTTCAGCTTACAGGCTCTTTATCTAACTGGGCCACTTCTTCCTTTGTTGCTTCCCCCATCTCGGCAAAATTCACTGAGCTTGGTTTAGTCAGAGCACCAAATAAAGATTCTGTGTAATTCTAAATTCCTCCTTCCCTTATAGTTCCTCTTCTATGTTTAACATGTCTTTGTTCATTGTCAATAAATAGACAAACCCAAACTTATCCTCAATCTAATCAACGTAGAAATAGCTCTGCAGAATTTTATTTACTATTTTTATGCCTTAATTTATTCAGCAAAATAATACAAAAATATAGTAAAAATAAGTCATATTAGGCCTAACAGAGAGAAAAATAAAAGGAGATAAAAAGATGTCAACAATGAATCTAATTTAGCCAAAAATTATATATAGAAACCCTACTATCCTTACTAGAAGTGGTCCTAATCTTTCTAACACTAGAGAGCAAGTCAAACCCGTCTGTATAGACTAGTTGCGGAAAAGACCTATTTTGATTGTACTGGGATAAGATAGGATTTCTTAATAGGACCCTCAAAACCAGCAGTATGTAGTAAATGTTGAATAGTGCTTTCTGAAAAAATGTATGTATGAATATATGTATATAAATTTATTATACGTATTATTTACATAAGGCATGTATAGTAACAGTTAAAAATACACAATACTCTTTATCCTCATTTTCATATAAGCCATTGAGTCCAATACAATGTTTTTATTCATTTTTATGAACTTGTGTTAGGATTGCAATTCAATCATGATAAGATATATAGAGTTGTTTCCCAATACTATTTTTCTAACAAATTTATTGTTATTAAATATAACAGTTGACATGAATGTTGGCTAATATTTTGATTTACATTGACAGGTAAGAGAAAAGTAAAACAATAATTACATTATGTCAGAACCCCACTATTTTTTAACGATGTGAGCAATTTCTTTGCTGAATAACAGTTTTTGAATTGTAGAATAATATTTTGTCAGTTTTTTGTTCTGTTCAAAATTTAAAAGTTCCAGACAAACAGACTTTAAAGTTTCATCTGAGTTATTAACATTTTCTCCTTCACTTACATAAGTTGGGACCAGAAGCCAGCAAACTGCAGCCCTTGAGCCACAAAATCTAGCCTGTGGTCCAATGAGCGAAGAATGTTTTTACACTTACAAAGTGTTGTTTAAAAAAAAAAGAGGAATTTGCCACAGAGACTGTATGTGGTCCACAAGGCCTAAAACATTTCCTACCTGACCTTCACAGAAAAGAACTGCTGCCCCCTGGGACAATTAACAAAACAATAAGTCACACCCTGATTTGTAAGGTTCACCAATTTCCATGTTGTAAATACTCCCACTGTGTCTAATTTCAACCTATCACATGACCTCCCTGAACATAGAGGTGGGAAGAAAGGCATCACAGTAACATACCATGATATAGCATTTCCACCACACAGAGATGACGACATAAATAACTTTATGATCATAGATAATATTAGGCGGTAATATAATTAGTAAATAATGCATTTTGAATTTCAATTATTGTTTTTAATTAACTTATTTACTTAAATGTTTATATAATTTAACTTTTATAAAGGCTGTGTTAACAACCAGCCAGCAACATTTTTGAAAATTTCACAGATCAGCTTTTGCAAACCTGTATGAACCAGCTAAGGTACCACCACAGACTACATTTCCAAATTTGCCCTCTCTGTTGGGAAGGGACGACATGATGAAAACCAGGATATCATGGAAAGTATAAATCAGTTGAAAGACATATATTACTTACTCTCCTTCCTACTCAAACTCATGTACATTATCCACGAGATAATTTAATGAGATTCCTTTTATCTTTGCAGTATGTTGACAAGTTAGAGATAATAGACCTCACATGTCTTACTGAGCAAAATTCAACTGACAACAATTGTGCAAAATTCACCCTTGTTTTGCCAAAAGAAGAAGTGCAACTGAAGGTGAGTGAGGAGAAGCAATAGTCTGAAACAAGAGGTGGTTATAAATAGCATTCGGCTCTTCACAGCCTAGTGACTGAGGTAAGGAGGAATTATAGCGGGAGTGCCAAGTCCTACACTTTGTTAATGTATCTTGCCTTCTGCCAAGAACTAAGGTTTTCTAAATAGGGATTTAAAAGGGCATGTTCACTTGTTTAGTATACAGGCACATTGAAACCATATACTTTGTCCTGTGACAAAGTCAGAGGTCCCACCTGGTGTTTTTTAAAAGTTGTCCTTGAATAGGTATCCAAGAACTTGGTGTACCAAGCTCCCAGGTGATTGTGCAACATGTCCAACGTAATACGTGTTTGAAGCCACTGAATTAGACAGAACCGTATTTCACAAATTGAGAGACATTCTGCAAGGCTCAGTGTATACTTTTAAAAAATGCCAGTGTAAGAGAAGCCAAAGAAGAACTGGACCTGTGTTCCCACTATGGAAACTATAGAGTCATGGCGACTAAATGTGATGTGTGACCTGAATCGGATCCTGCATCCGAAAAGGGAAAAACAAACACACAAACAGAAACCCAAACACTAAAAAAAAAAATTACGGAGACAATTAGAAAAATTTGTAGAACTGTATATGAGATATACACGATTTATAAAATATGGTATTGATATCATAAAACTCTGAACTCCATACCAGCAGAGATCTGTGTTAAACTCAACACTGCACACCCAGCATTCGAAGTGAGCTGATTACAGTCAACCAACAAATCTAGTAATAACAAATAGAGTATCTTGCAATTGGATAAGATGTAGTTGGAGTTGACCTTGAAAGCACTGGTCATCAAGCCTTAGTGTAATATGAATCACCTGTACTTAGAAAATCCAGGCCCCATCCCATAAACCTGGGCCCCAGAATCTACATTTTAAACAAAGTCCTGCCCACCAGGTGATTCTGATGTGGTGGTTAAGGACACACACAGGATTGGAGTCAGATGCTGAGCTTGAATTCTGGCTGTTTTGTTCATGGGCTGTGTGATTGTGGGCAAGTTTCTTAACCTTTTCATACCTTGGTTTCTACAGCTGGAGGTAACCTTGGTTTCTACAGTCTGCTGAGATGTATCTTTCTTTCTGAGACCTACCTGCACTGTTTTATTAATAGGGCAACATTCTCCCCCCTCCATGGCATTCTCAATCTCTCTTACCCCAATCTACAGTTTATTTTTCCATTTGTTTCCTTCTGACACTGTAGACTTTACTATTATTTTTAGTATGTGTTGTTCCTTGCTAGACCCTAACCTCCATAAGAATAAGGATTTTCTAGTTCTCTGATGTAAACCAGTACCTAGAATAATGCCTAGCACTAAAAGGTACTCAATAAATACCTGTTAAATAATAAATCTTTAAAAAAATGATAGTACTTTTTACCGAGTTGCCATGAAGATTAAATCAGATAATACATAGGAATAGAACAGTAGCTGCTACTTATAAGTCTTAAAAACTTTGACCATACTAGTAGATTTTAGAGCTAACAATTCTAAGTTTCTAAGGACTAACTACATTGGTTTTACCTGGTTGCCCCAAATTTAAAGCTGGTCAATGTTAAATACCACTTGATGATCAACTGTAAGTTGACATACTACAGAAATGTGTGCTTACATTTACATTTTTTTAGTTAATTTTATAATTTTAGTTGTTTACTAAGCAAACAGATTAAAGGTATATATATATATATATATACACTTCTGAAAAAAGAAAGCAATATTGAAATATTTAATAGCAAATACACATTCATGGTTCTAAGCAAAAAAATGAATCATTTCTTCCATTCAACTAATTTTAAAAATTATAATTGTCTTTTTAAAACAGCGTGCTTCAATAGAAGTATTTGCCTTTTTGTTGATCTTGCTAATTTTTGATGGGATACACAACTTAAGTTTTTTCAAACAATCGTGAAATTTGGAATTTACTTGAAGTTAGTATAAGTATTAATGTTCATAGTCATTTATGGTTTTTCTTCTTCATCTTTATCTGTTTTGTCTTCATCTTTAGACAGAGAACACAGAAAGTGGGGAAGAATGGAGAGGCTTCATCCTTACAGTAACAGAGGTAGGAAGGACATTACTTTTGACTGATTCATTCATTCAACAAATATTTACTGAAGATTTACTATGAACCATGCAGAGAAAAGGGGGTTGAAGATATAGCCATTGAAAAATACAGATATAAACCTTCAGACTTACTTGTGAAATTTCTTTTTTTGTCAGATGGATGGAGAGGGAAAGACAAAATAAATAAGTCAACAAAAAAGATAATTTAAAATTGTGATAATTGCTGTAAAGAAAATAAACAGGGTGCCACTAACAAGTAATAGGTGGTCATGGAAATCTACTTTTTGGTCTCATTCTATTGACAAGTGGCCTTTGCAGAGTCTGATATTTTAGCTTACATAGCATCCTCTAAAATACTTTCCAAATCCATACTTATTCATTTAATACATATTTATAACATGCAAATTGAGAGGGATTTTATGAATAACTTAGACAATACAAAAGGGAGAGACCATCAAAATAAAGCTCACTTTATTTTTTATTTAAGATTTCATTTATTTATGTTTAAAGAGAGGATAAGGAAAGGAGAAAGAGAGAAAGAGAAACATCAATGTATGGTTGCCTCTTGTGCACCTCCCACTGGGGACCTAGCTGCCAATCCTGGCATGTGCCCTGACTGGGAATTGAACCAGCAACCCTTTGGTTCACAGGCCCATGCTCAATCCATTGAGCCACTCCAGCCAGGGCAAAACTCACTTTAAAATGTTCGTTTCATGAGACTTAAGACAAAGGAATGTTTATCTGTTGAACTCTGTGGCATCTTATGTGATATCAATAATATCTACTGTTTACAGTTTACTGTTGTAGCAAGATAACTACAATTATTTTAAATAAAGCCACTGTAGCAACCGTCTTAGAAACATAAGGTACTTTGATAGTCAGCCCCCAAAAGAGCATCATATTGTCTACTACTTTGAGAAGATAAGAGAAGATTATCTTTTGAGAAGTATCTTTTGAGACAATCTTTGAGAAGATTGTCTATGTTTAGTAGGGTAAGTTAAATGCAGACTCTCTCCAAAGTTAGTTCCTAAGTAAAGGCCTTACAGTCACATGGAATAAGCACTGCACTTTACTGAGATGATGGATGCTGTTTTTGTTTTTTTTTTAGTCAATAATATGTAAAAGTTTCAGGCTCAACAACCATTCGACTACCATGTGTGTAAGTCATAGGCAGATTAAAAAGACCAGATAAAGAGGTTAAAGACATGTTGACTTGGGGTAAAAGAGAAACTCTTTGGGGAAATGCATTCTTTTCCTCAGTTGTGTAAAGAAAATATTTTGTACAGTGGCATTTGTTACACTAGGGAACAAGTCTCCCAATGGAATCTGAGTAGCCATCAAGTACAGTAAAACCACTGCAAAACTGCAGTGCATCTTTCTGGTACACTAATTATACTTGATGTTTTGGCCCCCCAATTTTTTTTCATATTTTCCCTCAATAAAAATATTATTTTAAATTAAAATGTATCTAGGTACATTACAGAATATAAGATTTATGTGAGTTTCCAAAAGAAGACAAGTTACCTTAAATGTTGTGCTCTATTAATGTTTTTGCCCAACGATCCCAGATAACTCTGTGCTTGTTGTTAGGAGAACTTCACAGTAGAAGTTTGACAAAGACAAACTATTGCTGAAGGACTGAGACATTGCTTTGTTTTTTTTAAAATTTTATTTATTTTTAGAGAGAGGAGCAGGAGGGAGAAACAGAGGGAGAGAAACAACGTGTGAGAGAAATATCCACCAGCTACCTTGCACACCCCCAACAGGGGACCTGGTCCACAACCCAGGCATGTGCCCTGACTGGGAATCAACCTGGCAACCTGGTGCTCTGGTCTGCAGGATGACACCCAACCCACTAAGCCACACCCGTCAGGGCTAGATGTTGCTTTTGAATTAAGGAAAAGCAGAGCTTGAGTCTTGGTTTTACAAATTACCAGCAATGTGACCCTGGACAGTTATTTAATTTTTCTGAGCCTGTTTTTTTTTGTCTGTTTGTTTTTTGAATTTGTAAAGTAGGATGCCTATTGAAGCATTGTTGTGAGAATTTGCAATAACACAATACCCGAGTCATAATGGGTAATTAATAAGGAGTAACTGTATATTAGTTTTTCTTCATTTTATTATTTTTTCTGGATTGGTATATAAGAAAATAGCCTTATTGATATTAGTTAGCTTAGCTATCCTTTTGTGTACCCTTATTAGTAATTTTTATTTCAAATTTTATATATATGGACATCAGTCATAAGAGTTAATTAGATAAGTACATAGAAAACGTTCTAGTGTTTTCTTCCCAATGAACTTTCCTATACACCCCCTGGAAGGCATGCATCCCAACTCTGCAGATCAAACTGTTAATTACACATGGTCAAACTGTGGTCTAAATCAGGGGTATAAATATAGATTGGAGTGATAGGTTACTCAATCCAAAATGCATTTCCAGAAAAGGTTAAAAAAAGTAGTCAGTGGAGCAAAATCATCATCCTAATATGAAATTAAAATCTGAAATATACGCACAAGCACATCAAAATATAGACTTCTGATTGCTGATCCTTGTTCATCTAATGAATAGTGCCATCTCAACCCCATGTTACCATGTGGTTGGTGGAGATAGTTCTCCGTTATTTGTAGAAGAACTATGCACTTTGCAGGTGCACTTGAACTTCCTTGGCAGTGAGAACTACGAAGCTCAGAACGACAATATGAGAGATCTGTTGTTACTTGAATTAGCCTGTACTGCAAGGTGGGTGTACTTCGTTTTGGGGCCAGACAAAAAGGAACATTTCTTGGAAGAAGATCAGGTACCCTGTGCAGGTTCTATTTGGTTTAGAGGCTGTGCTAGGATGCCGACCCCTACACTAAGATTGTCTATTCGTGATTCTACTCTTCCATCTCTGTCAGGTAACTGAAACTCCTCGGGACCAGAACAGGCTCATCTTTGCTAAAAATCAGTTGGTTATTTTGCTGTCTTTCTTGCTGCCTGTTTTAATTGATTTTAGCTGTTGGTTCCTGAAGATGTGTCCCTCCTCCCTGGACAAGTAATCAGACTGCATGAGGTCTTGGAGAGAGAAAAGAAAAGGAGGATTGAGACAGAGCAGCTCCCGAGCACATCTCCGGAAAAAGAAGGGGAACCGAGTGAAGACTATGTGGACGTACTGAACCCTATGCCAGCGTAAGTGCACCATCAACCCCAGTTTACTTATTGGAACATTAAGGAGAGTTCATCGTTGACCTCATTAAGCCACGGGCACCAAATTGTCTTGTGGATAAAGAGCATACTTCTGAGTACACACCACATTTCCTCTTCTGGGTCATGATCAACAAAAGGCAAAATGCAGATTCGAACCAAATACCTTACCACACAGGAAATCCCCTCACCCACACTTTTAGACCAAATAGGTATTCTTTCCAAAGTTTAAACCTAAATAAAAACTGCTACGAGGAAGGAAGGAAGCGATATTTTTTCACCTTGTAATTCTCCGATTGACTGATTTTTCTCTCAGAAAAGTACACCAAAGAATTAAAAATAACTGAATGCTCTATCCAACCGTTCAGTCAATCTGAGTAGTCATTGAGCTTGTACTTGGAGGAAGGCTCTGTGTAAAATGTGTAAGGTATTGTTGGGAAAATTGAGGCATAGAACATGCTGAATTAAGCAATATCTACCTATCTATCTATCTATCTATCATCCATCTATTTTATTGTTAAGAAGTGTGGCTAAGATTGTGAAAACCTTCCTCCTGAACTCTTGGTCAAGTTCTCATCAGTGAATCATGTCTGGTACTACCTTTGACATCAGGTTATAATTCATGTTCTTTCTGTTCTGTAATCACCATAACTTTTAGCCGAGCCAATGACAACTAATGACTGATAGGTTAAAAGTCAAAGCCTTGGCCTGGTGGCTCAGTTGGTTGGAACATCATCCCATACACCAAAAGTTTATGAGTTTGATCCCTGGGCATAGCCCATACTTAGGTTGTGGGTTCAAAAAGACCATAAATGTTCAACAAAACAATATATATGTTTACACATAAATAAAAAGAAGACTAATATCCTTCCTTATTCCACAACTCAAAGATATTTTCTGTTAACATTTTGGTGTATTTTACATATTCTGCCAGATATTTTTCTGTGATTTAGATGTAAAAACACCACCACCAATATCATAAGAAAGCCATATTATGCCAAAAGAAGTGAGTTAATACATACTCCTAAATATGAGTTATTTAAAATAGAGACAAGAGAAACATGAATAGAGATTTTTTTTAATCTCTGGAAAGAAGAAGAACAAATGTTGGATAAATGTTGTTTATCCAAGAGCCTATTATTATAAACTAAGACTGGAGAGACATTGTTAATTCCTGTCTTAGATTTTCAAATGGTAATGGAAATTGTATACTGATCAGCAGATAACTTTTCAGTTCCCCTTTCATCAGAAAAAGAGGTTTTGGAGGGAGGGAGGGAGGGAGGGAAGGGGGCCTTAGGCATACATATACTCACAGTGGCACAGGCTTGTAATAACAGTAATTATAACTATATCTTGGTAATTATAAAAATAAAGCTGAGCATTCTAAGAAAAGTTTATAACTGCAGTTCTTAAGGCTATTTTAGTAGCATTTTTTCAAGTAATAATCTTTATCAGTTTTTTAAAAATGTTTTTTATTTCACCTCTACAGATGTTTTTATACAGTGTCTCGGAAAGAAGCAACTGAGATGCTTGAAAAGAATCCTTCATTGGGGAATATGATCCTGAGGCCTGGTAGTGACAGCAGAAACTTCTCCATTACTATCCGGCAGGAGAGAGAGTATGTTTCATTAAATAAACATATGGAATTATTAAAAAGCATGGTATCACTTTAGAAAGCAAAATCACAAAGTTTAGAGAGGCATCTGCTATGTGTTTTGTTGGGGCTAAAAATACAAACACAAGAATGGAGAGGGAATGTTATATAAGTAATGCTGAAGACTGAGCCAAGGCCAATATTTGCTGTAGGGAAGAAAAATGAGCAAAATACTCTGGTCTTGGATATAGTTCGCTCATTCATTTATTCATTTCAACGAATATTTTATTGAGCAATTACTATGGGGCCAAGTGATTTTCTACATACTGAGGATACAGCAGTGAAGAAAACAACATCCCTGGTTTAAGGAAGTTTACATATTTGTAAGGAAAAACAGGCTATAAATAAACACATAACTAGAAATTTCATACACATGGTAATAAGGCCTATGGAAGTAAAATAAACCAAGATGGAGGGAAATGGGAACCGCAGAGGTAATAAAGGGAGAAAATTACATGCTCACTTTGGTAGCACATATACTAAAATTGCCATGATACAGAGATTAGCATGGCCTCTGTGTTAGGATGACATGCAAACTTGTGAAGTGTTCCCTGTTAAAAAAGAAGAGAGAAAGAAAAGGTTTTCTAGTTGCTGTTGTTGTTTTAATACAGAGTGGTCAGGGAAGGCCTACTTTATTAACTGACACTAAGCAGAGACCTGAAGGAAGTGGGGAAACAAACCATTTCAATTTCTGGAACTAGTACCAGGCAGCAAGTGCATGTGCCCAGAGGCGGGAGAAGGCTTGGTTTGTTCAGGAAACAAAAGGAGGCCTTTGTGACTGCAGTGGAGGGAGCTAGGGGACCGTGGTAGCAGACAGATGCCAGAAGTGGGGTAGTGACCGGTCACACTAACCCGTACAGGTCATCGTGGGGATGAGGGTTTTACTCTGATTGATACGACAGGCACTGGAGTGTGCTGAGTAAAGAAGTAACATAATCTGGTGAATCAAAAAAAAAAGACCATTTAGGATCCTCTTGTCAAGGTTAATTATTTCCGGTAAAATGTCTATGTTTGGTAAAGTAAGTAACATTTACATGCACTAGTTGATTGTTCTGTGTGCCCAGGGTGGTTGGATCTTTTAAGATTCATTTCAGCTCTCAGAGTCTATGAAAACTTGCATTTCAATAGAACTCTGGTTATTATCTTCACCACTGATGATATAATTAATATATAGAGGTTTGTGTCTCATGTGAAAATATTCAGTTAGGTGATTTGTTTCTGAAAATATTTGTTTTCAGAAAAAACATACTTCAGAACTTTGATTTTTAATGTCATTTTTTTCTGAGGGTACTATTCTATTAAGTATGTTTTAGCTATAACATGTCTACCAAATGAATCCATCTTCCAATCTACCATAAAAATCTGTAATTCTAAATAGAGTAAATATGAAGATACTGACAATGAATAAAGACAGTAAAAAGAAAATAATCCCAGGAAAAAATAAAATTATGACATTATGGCTGCATTGCTAGTATGAGACAAGGTCTAATCAGTTTTATTTACTTGCCAGTTACTCTGCATACGCTGGTCACGTGCCAGGCATGGCTGGCCAGAATGGTAGATGGTAAACCGGATCCTGGTTCTGTGGGTGAGGGAAGGGACTCTGTGTGTGTGGGTTTGTCTTCCACAATGAATATCTATGTCAACTGAAACTTTTGGTTTCAGTATCTTTTCATTTAGTATGGGCTAACATTTGCAGTTAATGATTTTCAACTGATATGGTAGAATACCACATTTTTTCAGTTATAATTTATTTATCATTTAATTGGCTATCTTGAAACAAATCCAACACATATAAAAATTATGGTGGCCATTAAATATCAGTGAGCTTAGAAGAACTCCTGGGAGAAAACTGGATTTTTCTGTTTACCATACCCTGATGAAGGAAATTATCCTTTTTCAGGGATTAGGAAATTGAGTATCACATAAAATATTGAATGTCTTTAACTATTTGTTTCCACTTAAAAAAATCAGGACATACACAAAATTAAAATTTATCTTGCAGATTTTTTTAAAGAAACCATCTAACTGCTTGATAGACTAGATCACACCAGGGAATGATAATCACTTTCCTTCATATTGTTTTTTTCCTGGGTGGGATTGAGTGCTTGATCAGTTTGCATGTGAGCCCTGTGTTATCGCTCTGTGTGTAACAAACAAAATCCTGAGGTCTAATGGCTCTTCAAAGACTGTGTGTTTCCTGCACAGTAGCGGCCAGGTCCCTTTTAAGGTAGTTTAAATTAGCCCTACATTTGCACTGCACTTTCTGTGCAGGCAGGCTATGAAAAATAAGGTTTTTTTTTTCCTTTTGCTGTAGATGTAGTTTTTGACCAAATGCAAGGAGTTTCTATACTTAGGAGATAAATGTAATGTCACAGTTTTTGCTTATTTTTATATTACACTTAAGCTCCTAAGAGTCTGGCAAAGGAGTTCATTTCAAAGTTATGTGTTTCCAATTTTTGTATCCTCACTTCCAGTTTGAATTCATGTAGTTCATACTTTTATACAGCTGATGTTATATTCATAAGAATATAACATTTCATAAAACTAGCTGTTATTGTACAAATTTTCCTTATCGGCCAGATATAATGTTAAGTGTTGTTATATGTGTTCTTTAATGCCTCCAAATAGCTCTTTTAGAATGCCTAGATTTAATATTTTGTATTAAACAGATTGCTTAATTTTGGAGGCTAGCAATTGTAGAGAGGAGTTGAATTTTAGCATGTGAGACTGTAGAGCTTAATGTAAAGATTTGGCAGAAATCTAGACTATTAGGAAGCACCCGTGTTACCCACAAAACCAATTTATTCTCTGTAGGAGAAATGTTCAGCCATGCACGTTTAGATGACTTGTGTCTGGTAAAACACTAGCTGAAGAGGACAAGTTGGTTTACAAAATACCATGAAAGTAAAATGATCTCCATCTGTTAACAAATCAACTGAGGGAGGGAAGATTATTGTTTTTAGGAAGAAGCAAAAGTCATTCAATGTCAAATTATCAGGTGACTCCTCCTCTCTTGTTGTAAAATATCATCCACGTTTACCCAGCCCAGTGGTGTGTGAATTCATAAGATGTAAAGCTATTTTTACAGCAAACTGCATGATTTGGTCAGTTTTTCTAAAAACAGTTATGACTATGTGGCAAGCTAGCAGTATGAACTCTTTGGAAAGACATTAACCTAGTAGATGATATTTTCCCCAAATTCATTCCTTTGCAAAAATTGGGGTCAAAAGCTAAGAACAAGCATTTATAACCACATCTAATTTAAGGCTACACATTCTTTTTTTTAAAGATAGGCTACTTCTCTTTTTTTTTTGAGGTCATATACAGGAAATCTCAATATAGCAAATTTTATCAATCTCACTTTCCCCCCGCTCTCTGCATTCCTTTGGAAAAACAAAACAAAATACAGAAAAAAGACAAAGGTCTAGAATTGAAAGACAAAGCCTAAGTGGAATTTTTTTCTACTTTTCTGCTTCAGAACTTAGTCCTGTTAGTCAAAAGTTCCAAGAAACCCTGTTAAACTTTGTGACTGTTCCTGTCACACCTGTGCCATGAACCATGATTGTCATGAAATGATGGTTTTTTACTAACAATCCTTGTCCCCACTTACACGGTACCAAAAGTGTTAGGCACTTTGTTGAGTGCCTAACAAAGATTTTCTTCAGCACAGTAAAAACTGAGACAGACAGCATTTCCCATGGTTTACAAATGAAGAAGCTGAGACTTTACAGAAACCACTAGCTTAAAATAACAAATTTTAAAAGTATAAAAATAGTAATTTATTGAGTAAAGAAATGTGCCAGACACTGTACTAAGGACTTTTTAAATATAATTCACTACAGCCTTGTTAGCAAATGCATTATCATCTCCATTTTACAGATGAAGCAGTGAAGGCTCATAGAGTTTAACAAAACAGAACCTGAGTTTGAACCTAGATCTTTCTAGTTACCAAGGCCATGCCCTTCAAGCTTTCTATCCAGGAAAAATAATCACTTGTTTCATAGGAATACAGGAACTCTAAATGGAATTGGTGCAGGTGTTCAAAAGGAACTATGACTACAGAGGGATGGTTTTCAAGGTGGGGATACAGATGAAGCCAGGACCAATCACCCCAATAGACGGTACTTATAAGACCTCCTCTGTTCAAAGGAGTTTCCTTCACCAGCCTGTAACTGATGCCTGAAGGTTAAGCATTAAGAAATAATTTTTCCTTTTCCCCTTTAGGATGGGAGAGGGTTGGTTAGTTTTTATCCCACATTTTGAAAGCCCTAGAATAAGACATTGGAATAAATTATCATCTGTTTTCCAATATAATATGCAACTGAAAGATTTGAATACAACAGTGGATGAAGGACAGTTCCTTAAACAGAAGTGCAGTTCAGTCCTAGAGAAATGTGACCTGGAAATGGGGAGAGAAGTGATGAAAAAGGTGAGAGGCTCTGCAGACCAGCTTCACCTGACAAGACAATTTTGCTTTAACCAGCTTCTATACATTGGACAGACATCAAATTAGTTTGTCTTTCAAGCAAATGGCAGTATAATAAATCTGTTTACTTTTTTTTCAACATTAGAAAGTCTTGGTCCTAACACTGTTGCCATATGAATCAAGGGAGTTCAAGGCAAACACACTGTTGTTCAAATGCCCTGGGCATTTGACTCATGCTCTCAGTAGAAATTAGTTCCAGCAAATAGAACTGAGGTAGGCTCCTAAAGTTTTAAAATCCAGTTTCCTACATACTTCTGTGTGCCTGATGCGGGAATACAAAGGTGAATAGAGTGTGCTTCTTGTTCTTAAGCAATTCAATCAATAAAATACCACACATTTAGGGTAGAGTGTTAAAGGGGCTATAAGAGGACTAAATGGTAATGGAAAAAATATAATAAAGATTAAACTTAAAAAAATTAGAGTGCTATGAAACTATAGATGAAAGAGACATTAAGATTCATCTACTGGGCTTATATTCTCACCAAAGTGTTCATATAGTACCTCGCACCTAGCATTTTCCATATCTCTAAGTCCAAGGTGCAGTGAGAGCTAGTAGGAAGAACAGCCACTGAGGGCTTTCTGACTCGAATAGTGGTGAGGTGGGGTAGAAAGTAATTTGCTTTCAGTAATTCTAGTTCTCATTTAATATGGAAAATATGGATTTGATTTGTGTTATGCCCACCTAAGATGTTATGTGTTGTCTACTTTGTAAGTTATTGGCATTTAAAAACATAATTTCTGCCTAAAATATTTTCAGTTCTTGATTCCTTTATTTACATTATTTTTTCTCATTGAACCACTCAATGACCCAGATTTCCTATGCCCCTAGTGTATGACCCACCCCCAAAACATAGAGAACCAGATAGATAGGGAGAAACCCCCCCCTTTTTTTTTTTTTTTTTGCCTAGTCATTGAAACAGGTTTTACAATACAGGTGATATTTTATACTCACTTAATTTGTTTAATCTAACATTAAAAGAACCATTATTTTATTTATTGATTTTTAGAGAAAGAAGGAGAGAGCAAGAGAGAGCGAGAGAGAGAAACATCTCTCTATTGTTGTTCTATTTATTTATGCATTCATTGGTTGATTGTTGTATGTGCCCTGGCCAGGGACTGATCCCCCAAACTTGGTGTATTGGGATGATGCTCTAACCAATTGAGTTACCCAACCAGGGCTTTATACTCATTTTAGTTTGATTTCACTCAATAGTATACTCAAATGGAGATTAATCTTTTTTTTTTTTTTTTTAAATTTTAGCATGCCAAGAATTAAGCACTACAAAGTGAAAAGTGTGGGAAAAAACTACACTATTGAACTGGAAAAACCTGTAAGTAGCTGTTTCCTTGTTGATGAATTTTCTCCTTCTTCCTTCCAAACATACTTAAAGAACACAAAGAAATGTGGAAAAGCAGACTCCTTGCCTAGGAACACAGTGCTGGAGAAAAACAGCCATGTTAAGGAGCCCTGAGGTGGCAGATATCGAGGGTGAGAAGTGAGATGATAGAGCAGGTGGATGAAACAGAAGATAACCTGCTAAAAATTCCTTACACTTTTCTTTTATGTAAATCTTTATCAATATAGTTGTTTCAGGGAGAGAAAATATATTGTTAAGCAGTTGCTTTACATCCTCCAAAGCAGCATTTCAGTGCTTGTTCCTTTAAAAATTAAAAAAAAAATCCACTAGTCGATATTCAATATTAATTCAGGTGTACAGAGGATAGAGGTTAGACATTTATTAATTTACAAAGTGATAGCTCCAATCTGTTTAATACCTACCTGGCACCATACATAGCTTTACAATATTGCTGACTACATTCCCTATGTTGTACTTTACATGCCCATGGCTATTTTGTAACTACCAATTTGTACTTTTTAATCCATCACCTTTTTCACCCAGCCCTTCAACCCTCCTCCCATCTGGCAACCATCAGTTGGTGGAGGATATATGAGTAAACGGTGATGGGCAGAGACTTGACTTAGGGTGGTAAATATGCAGTAAATACAGTGTACAGATGTTTTGTAGAATTGTGCACCTAAAACCTGTATAATTTTGTTAATGTGTCACCCCAATAAATTCAATAAAAAAAACAATCAGTTTGTACTCTCTGTATGAGTCTGTTTCTGTTTTGTTCATTTATTTTGTTCTTTAGATTCCACAAATAAGTGAAATTGTATTGTATTTGTCTTTCTCTGCCTGGCTCATTTCACGTAGCATAGTACCCTCTAGGTCCATCCATGCTGTTTCAAGTGGTAAGATTTCCTCCTTTTTATGACCAAGCAATATTCCACTGTAGCACATCTTCATCCAGTCATCTACTGATGGGCAACTGGGTTGCTTCCATATCTTGGCTATTGTAAATAATGCTGCAATGTACATAGGAACACAAATATACTTTCAAATTAGTGTTTTGGATTCCTTTGGATAAATACCCAGAAGAGAAATTGCTGGGTTGTAAAGTTCTTTTTGATTTTTTGAGGAGCTTCCATACTGTTTCCATGGTGGCTGCACCAGTCTGCATTCCCACCACCAGTGTGTGAGGGTTCCCTATTTTCTACATCCTTGCCAACATTTGTCGGTTTATTGATGGCACCATTCTGACAGGTGTGAGGTGGTATCTCACTGTGGTTTTAATTTGCATTCCTGATAGTGATTTTGAGCCTTTTCATATGTCTATTACACATCTATGTATCTTCTACAGAGAAATGTCTATTTAGGTTCTCTGCCCACTTTTTAATTGGACTGTTTGATTTTTGCTGCTGTTATAGTTATCAATTTTGCATATCAATCCCTTATTGAATGTCTCATTGGTAAATATTTCCTCCCAATCAATAGGCTGTCTTCATTTTGTTGGTTTCCTTTTCTCTGCAAAACCTTTTTAATTTGATGTAGTCCCATGTATTTTTTTCTTGTTTCCCTTGCCCAAGGAGGTATATAAAAAATATACTACTATGAGCAATGTCAGGTAGTTTATTGCCTGTTTTCTTCTTAGAATTTTATGGCTTCATGTCTTATTTAAGTCTTTAATTCATTTTGAGTTTCTTCTTATATGTGGTGTAAAAATGTAGTGTAGTTTCATTTTTTTTCATGCCTGTGTCGTTTTCCCAACTCCATTTATTGAACAGACTGTCTTTAGCTCATTGTATATTCTTGCTTCCTTTGTCATAGATTTAGTAACCATATAGACATGGGCTTATTTCTGGGGTTTCTTCAATGTGCTTATTTCTGATGGGGAAAAAGCTGTGAATGCCTAGTCCTCTAATACCCACCATGCAGAATTTCAGAACTTCCCCTGTTAATAGCAGCATAACAGTAAAGAAAGGGTTTTGTCCTTGTCAGCAACCCTCTTCTACTCCAACCAACTTATCATCGGGCTAATGATATATCAAAAATACTACCTACTGTTAGGGCACACAGCTGGTACTTTACATACACCATCTAATTTATTCTTTATCACTACTCTGAGGTAATGCCTGTTATACAGGTGGGAAAACTGATATTTACATTGACCTCAACCAATGACAATGTTGTAATGTGGCCTATAGATAATAGAATAAAGGGAAGTTAGCCCTGAGATCATAGGCTGCAGTGTGGAAAGCTTGGGCCAGGAAATATCACTTAAATGAAACCCATGGGTCTTGAAGATATTGACAGTAAATTGTCTAGAACCGAGCTGCTAGCTCTCCTGTCCCCCCATGCCCAATGTGTTGATCAGAGAAAGGTTCAGTATGGTTGAATTTGATTTGACCATAACCCTTAGAGTGCAGTAGTGACACTTGCCAAGAGTAAGGCACCTGCTGATTCATATACCTGACTTAAACCTTTGCTCTAAATGCTTCCCAGAGCTTCTCTATTCTCATGTCCATGCCTGATTGGGATTTTTCAAAAATTCTAATGAGAAACAGAGAACTAGATTGGTGAAGGGCAAGGGTCAGGGAAGAATGTCTCTGTGAGTGGTGAGCTGGGGCTCATTTATCTGTCATTAGCACAAACAACCCCCAGTGTAAGGAAAGCTAACAGCCGGGGTTATTCTTTTCCCTTTCACACTCCTCAACCCACCCTCAACCAAGTCATCACTATTTGAATTTTTTCCTCTTTAAGGTTACCAGGATTATTGGGGGTAGCAACCCATTTCAATTATTCCTATTCAAGCAAATTATCCAGTCACAATGAGATATCAAAATGCTAATTTGTTTCAAGCAGAAGAGACTACAGAAAAATTAAGCAAAAATAAATAAAATAACATAGGAAGCACATAGCATGACTGGAAGGTTAGAAAATCAGGGATTAGGAAGCAGTTACAGTAAAAACCATTTGATTAGGAATGAACTCGTCTGGCTCGTTCCTCTACTCAAGCTCAAATTTCAGGAGGGGAGCATTGCTGACCTAACTTGAGCCACACTCTCATGCTGTAACTAGGGAAGAGCAGAGTACCTAGTCATCGTCCACCGAATGTATCCAAAGAGAAAGGGGAAATTCCTCAACAGGGAACCAGCCAGGATTAAAAGAGAGGTAAAATGCACGGGTAGGCAAAACCATTCAGTAAGCCATTGAAGTGAGGTATAGATAAGACTTTCTGGAGGTCGGAAGATATACAGCAATCTGAATTGCAGTTGAGCTTTATCTTATTCTATCTTTACATAGGTGACTTCTCTCACTCTCTCTTTATACAGGTAACACTCCCAAACCTTTTTAGTGTCATTGATTACTTCATGAAGGAGACTCGAGGAAATTTACGACCATTTATACACTCAACTGATGGAACCTTCGGTATGTTCACTTCATTGCTGTATTAAGGAAAGCAAAGCAAAACAAAACCCTGTATATAATTTTAATACCTACTAGGCTGGACTTTAGTTCTGCTTTTAAATTTACCCATTTAGAAATTATTTTGTCACTGACCCTGTGAAAATAAAGGAGTACCAATATATCCTGGTGGCTAGAGGATGGGCCCATTCTAGAGAAATAAAAACTCTGAGGCATGTGTTATGACTAGTAACTTCATTTAATTATTCTACTTGGCTTTATCAAACAAATTCAGAAATAAGAAGAAAACCATAAAACACAGTCATGGAAACCAAACAGGAAATTTAAAGGTAGGGTCTGTCAAGTGTCAGATGCTCTAGACCCACTGAAATGGATGAAGATTAAGGAGAGACTGTGGGAACTGGCTATTGGGCAGTAGATAACTTGAGAGAGAGGTCTTACTCCACTATAAAGGCAGAAGTAGAGTGAAGATAATGAGGAGTGAGTGGGTGGTAAGAAACTACAGATAAAAAAATTATAGATAGTAGACAGTACTGGGTACATAATTTGTGGGGGTCCCTTATTCATAGATAACTATGAATTTTAAGACAGTAGTAGCAGATCATTAACCCAAGCATGAGACCCCATGTTCACGTAAGGTAAAACTGTCCGTTTGTGCCTGTTTTTCGGCAGAGCAGGGCAAGCTGCCTGTGTTTCTCTCCATCCTTTGGAATAATCCCTGGTACATGGTTACTTGATAAGCCATAAGCAGGATAGAGAAAAATATTTCCAGCTTGTTTGGATTAAGTTATCAAAAGTCTGTGTTCCTACAGATTATGAGGAAAACAACTTTGGCTACCTGCATCATGGCATTATATGGAAAAGCTCCCTTATTAAAAGGGTAGAAGTTTTGAAAGTTTAAGTTTTGAAACATGGCTATAAACCTTATGATGCCAAATAATTAAAAACTCGTTCTGAAGGAACTTTAGAAAATTACCCAGTAGTGTCTTACTGTTAAAGAAATCATCCTCACACTCAGTACAGGAACCAACTCTAAGATGTGACCATTCAGCTTGTTTGAAAATTTCTAATTACAGTCACCGCACTGGTTTTTGAGGCAACACAGTTCACTTTTAGTCAGCTTTCATGTTAGAGAATCCTTTCTTAATTTTGACTATGAAACATTCCTTCCTTCAACTTCTGCATATTAAGACAATTTCTGGCTTCAAGACAACACAGGGTTTTAAGAAAAACAGCCACAATGCCACCCCATTCCCCGGTCTCTGTCATTTAAAGTTAATGGTTCCTTCAGCACTCTCACTCTTTCCTCTCTGACCTTTGCTGTACACTAATTCTCAGCATCTCTTTCTCATAAAACACAACCACAAGGGGTAATACATGAGCACAGATATGTCCAGCATAATACATTACCTGGGCTTTATGTGGGAACTTAATAGAAACCCCTGGGAATGAGCTATTAATATTATTAATGGTCTTTACAATTTTTTTTTCCAGAAACCGAAGGACTGCCTGTGACAACTCTAAAATAAAGAAAAAAATTAGGCTGTGGGGGAAATCCAGTATAATTTACCTCCTCCATTGTGATACTGTGTTAGTTACCTAACGTTATGTAACAAGCCACTCCTAAAACATGTGGTTTCACAAACTACCCCCAAAACATGGTGGTTAAACCAACAAACCTTTTATTTTCTCATGATTCTGTGCATCAGCAATTTGGGCTGAATCATGCTCTTTATGTGGTGTCCAATCCTTGAGGAAGTTAGCTGGGCATTGCACGAGATCTCAGAGAAGCTGAGATCACGTCCTTGGGCTAGAAATTCTTAGTGTTGAGAATAAAGCTCAAGTCCTCACTTAAATTGTTGACAGGTTATGCACTTTTAAGTGAAAGAACGTTAAACAAAACCAATTTTATCATAGGCTAATTGATACAAGAGTTAAAAGTTCCCTACATGGGCTAGTCAAAAGTTGTAGCAAAACGCTGAACTACATTATCTGAGGGCCTGCCTTCTTGGAGCTTTTAATAAAGGAGAAGCTGTGTAGTGAATCCCAAGTGTGGTATGTTTGATGTACAGGGGTAATATTTCTTTCTTTTAAGATCATTTAATTTACACACAGCAACATTTTTGGTGTACAGTCCTACTAGTTTTGACAACCACCACTACAATCAAGATACAGAAAGTTTAATCATCCCCCCTAATGCTCTTCCTCTGTAACCAGCGCTTTTTATTGTCAGGCTCTGGCAATCAAACTGGCAACCAATCAAACTGGCAACCACTGGTCTGGTTGCCAATCAAACTGGCAACCACCGGTCTGTTGTTTTCCATCGCTGCGGTTTTGCATTTTCCAGAATGTCATATAACTGGAATCACAGTATGGAATCATTTTAGACTTATTTCTGTCACTCATCATGTCTAGATTCACACATGTATAGTATGTATTACTAGCTTGCTCTTATTTTAAGGCAGAATAGTATTTCACTGTATGGAAATACGTTTGCTTATCTACCCACCAATTTAAAAGTGTTAGGGTAGTTTCCAGTTTTTGACAATTATTAATTGAGCTGTATAAATATTATTATACAGAATTACTAGTGCCCAAATGTCTGGTAGAGCAAATAAAAAATTTCTGTGGAGGATGAAAATTACGCTGGGCATTGAATTGTTTCTACAATTTTTCTTTTCTTTTTTGTTGTTTCTATGATTTTTCAAATGCAATACTGGCATACAACAAAAAGTAGTATGGCACATAAAAATTTAAAATAAGAAATGAGGATTAGTAAACACACACAAAAAGTAAAAACAGATCCAGAGAATTTCAGAGTTTAGAATTACTAAACACATCTTGAGGTAGATAAAAGATTGAAAATTATGGCAAGGCAACTGGAAACTGCAAGGGTGACATTTCTATACTTGCAAATAGAAATTTGAGAACTGAAAATACAAAGGGCTAAGAATAACCAAGACACTCTTACAAACAAGCCAGGAGGACTGGTTCTGCCAAATATCAAAAACAATATATCAGCTATAGTGTTGAAGACAGTATATAAGCAGAAGTATAGGAACAAAAAATTCAGAAACATATATACACACACAGAATGTGGCAGAAGTAGGTTTATAAAAATAAATGATAATACAATAAACTGTTTTGTGTAATTACAACCATAAACCTACTCTTGCCCCCCCCCCCCACACACGATATGGATGGACATCTGACTTTGGTGGCACTGTAGAAAAGTGACACTACAGAAAAGAATGAACTTCGGTAAATGGTGGTGAGGCGCTTCCCAGAAAACGCAATATTAATCCCTTGTGAAATAAGAATTAAATGGAAGCCTTGGCTGGTGTAGCTGAGTGGATTGAGCTCGGAACTGCGAATCAAAGGATCGAGGTTCGATTCCCAGTCAGGGCACATGCCTGGGTTTGCAGGCCAGTTCCCAGCAGGGGACACGCAAGAAGCAACCACACATTGATATTTCTCTCCCTCTCTCCTTCCCTTCTCCTCTAAAGATAAAAATATAAGATCTTTAAAAAAATTTAAAAAATTTAAATAGAAAAGTTAAAAATAAAGTTTTTAGAAGATAATATAAAGGAGTACCTTCATGACCTTTGGGTACAGATCAATTTTTTAAACTCACAAAAAACTCTAACCTTAAGACAAAAGATTGATACTTATCAGTATTTATTAACAAATTCTTTTTTTAAAGATTTTATTTATTTACATTTTTTTAAGGAGGGGAAGGGAAGGAGAAAGAGAGGGAAACATCAATGTGTGGTTGCTTCTCGAATGCCCCAAACCGGGGACCTGGCCTGCAACCCAGGAATGTGCCCTGACTGGGAATCAAACTGGCGACCCTTTGGTTTATAGGCCTGTGCTCAATCCACTGAGCTATGTCAGCCAGGGCTAACAAATTCTTTTTACCGAAGAATATCATAAGCGAAGTAAAGGCAAGTGAGAGTGGGAGGAAATATTTTTAACTATATAGTTAACAAAGAACAGGATCTGTAAAGATCTTTTACAAACAAATGAGAAAAATGAGCAAGACTTGAAAAAACACTTTATAAAAAGAATCAAAGTGGCCAATAAATTTATGAAAATGTTGTCAATTTCAATGGTATTTAGGGAATGCAGAGTACAACTTCAATGAGATACACCCACGCAGAGCCGCCAGACTGGTAAAGTTTCACTAAGTCTGTTGTTAATACCAGTGTTGACCAAGATGCAGAGAATCAGGGTATCTCCACTGCTCAGGAAAAACTGTTATTATCTAATAAGATTTAAGATATGAATACCCTTCGTCCAAGTAATTCCACTCCTAGTTTATACCTTATTTGCACTGAGATACATATTGTATGAATAATGTTCACTAGGTAACTGTAATTGCCCCAAACTAAAATCATCAGAATTGTCTGCAGTCAACAGAATGAGCAAATAAATTGTGGTATGTTAATGCAAAGGTAAATTATACAACATGAGGAATGAAGTATAACTACAGACAACAACATAGATGAATCTCTTGTTCAATGAAAGAAGCAGCCACAGAATAACACAGTATGATTCCATTTACATAAAGTTCAAAAACCATCAAAAAGTAACTAGTATTCTTTAAGTACATACATAGGTGGTAACATTAAAACTTGAGGTGATTGCTTGGTGGAGAAGGGTATAAGGGGACTAAATGGAATGGAAAAAATATGTAACAAAGATTATACATTAAAAAAGAACTTATCAAATGGAAGACGGCTTTAATTAAAAGAAAACAAACACACGAAGACATAGTTATTACAGAATGTAGGGGAGGACTAGTGCAAGAAGGTTTTGTGTGGGGAAGCCGGCTGGGACTGGGAAGGGACTACAGGGTGGGGGTGGGGGGACCTGCGGGAGGCTGTCACTGTTCTATTGACTTGAGAGCTGGTTATAAAGTAGTCACTTTAAAGTGATTCCGTAAACTGCATATTTACATTTTGTGTGCTCTTTTCAATATTAATTTTTAGAATTAAAAAAACAAAGCTAGGATAAGGCAATAGAAAAATAAATGCAAATTACCTCATTACTTAGTATGATCTCCAAGACCTCAATTTCCTATTGCATTTGTTAAAAGTAAAATAGCCAAACTCACACCTAGTGATTGTATTTAAATAATCATACATTTAGATTGTAATGAATTTTTGACAGTATTCATTATAGGTGAATTTTTAGATCAATAGAACTATTTTCTTTGTCTTCATTTTACTAATTATAAAATAGTGGATTTAAACAAAGACACACCTTTGGGACAATTTAGAGGAACTTACTGATAAGTTAACATTAACTGTTTTGAAGTCCAAAATGGACTTGAGAAATCTGCAACTAACAGCACAGGATATAGCAGATCTGGGTTTTCACATGTCACCACCATGTCCCTGGAAGTGTCTTAATGGAATTTCCAAGTGCAAAAAGCACTTTGGTGTCCCATCACACCCCCAGTGACTGTGTATGTCCATGACTGCATAACTTAACAACTAGAAAGCACTAAAGCAACATTACCCACAAAATAAATGATAAAACTGGAATCTCTGGAGTCAACTATGGAACAGGGTTTACAAAGATATTGTAAATTTCTTAATTTATTTTTAATAAGTAAAAAATTACTCAGTGGTACCATACAAAATCAAATTAATTTTTGCATCTAGAACCACAATCACCAACAGTAATCTTATGGCACAGAAATAAACAAGAGAGAACAAAAAAACTATCACAACATCAACTTTTGCTTTCCAGCTTAGTAGAACTAAACAGAAGAAAATAATGGCAATAACCATTACCTACAGGGAAAAAAAGCAATGACAAAATAGTTTCAGGTCTAATCACAAAATGAACTTAATCCCTGTTTGATTTTGTTTGTATCTCTACAAATAAGAACTGATAGCATGGTTCTGAATTTACTTCTGAAGAAATATGGAGATTTATACCAAATGTTAAGCTATCAGGCCATATAGGTGACTATTACTGAATGACTACCTAGACAATATCAGGTATTGTCATGGAGCACAAAACAAGATGGATGTGGAAAAAAGGTTTCTTATAGTCATTTCCTTTAAATTCATCTTGTCCACTTCGATTTACCTCCCAATGCACAGATTATCTGTTAATCATACAAATTCATCCTCTATTCCTAAAGAAATTTGTTTTCTCAACTGGATACTTTTACGAAACAAAAAATTACAGCTGCTTGACAAAGTAATTTAATGTAAATAAAATAAAAGGAAAGTTAAGCAAAGGGTATAAAGAGATACCAAATTGGAGTAACAGTGATGTGAATTTAGTTTTTATCGAAGTACCTATTAATGGCCTGAACAGGAGAGCAGAAGAAAAGCAGCCAGAGGAAAACAACTTCTGGTGGTTAAATAAATGGGCTTTAGAATACAAGACAATCTTAGAAAAGGGATTGATAGTGGGAAAGGAGAGGGTGGGGTGGGGGAGAATAATGTGGAAAATTGGGACAACTGTAACAGAACAATAAAAAAGAAACACTTGTTATTTTCACTAAGTTTACAATGTTGAGTATACTTTGTCATTTTAATGAAAGCACTTATATGAACATAGGCAACAGGTCATATCAGAAAACAGAAAGTTTCTATCAATAAAGACCTAAAAAAATAAATTTTTATTTTCATCAACTCCCTTTCTGGGAATGCAGAATAAAATATTACGTTTTTCTTTAAAATAAAATATTAAATTATTTTTTCTGTGCATTAGTTTGCTGGAAGGAAAAAAAAATCCAAGACTCAACTAGTGATAACTTTTTAATTTCTAGTTTTCACCTACTTCTAAAAAACACTCCTTTAACAAAACCTCTTAATCTTACAAACTATGACAATCAGGTTGAAAGTTCCAAATAAATAAGATGGCCACATTAGAAGGCATATGGAAGAATCAAATGGTTAGCCACATTTATCTGTTCACATTCACGGATTCTCTGAGAGGGCTGTCAGAGTCCATAGAATACTATTGACATTTAGTCCAAGGTAACGTGTGTCATGTGTCATGTGACCCACTGCTCAGGGC